TCATAATATATATACAGTATGCATATTAATATAAATGCAAAATGCCAATAACTGCCACAAGGAACTGCCCGAGGTAACCATTATTACCTCAATATTCCTTAGGCAACCTCTGTGCTCTGTCTACAGGAGTTCAGGTAACCTTGGGCATGCTACTGTCCCACCATCTTGTTCCAGAAAAAAGCATTTAACTCTTACTAATGGTAAATGAAACGTGAGCCAGCTGGTAAAAGAGGTTTCCCTTGGAATAGAAAAGTTACGTGTTATTCCACAATGATTCCCTTGTGCAAATGCAGGTGAGCAGTGAGAGTTACTCCAGAGCTGTAGCAAAAACATAACCCCTAATGCAGCCAGGGAAGAGCCTGTCACAACTGTTTGCTTAAGACCCTCTCCTGCTCTAGACAAAGACATGGTGCTTGAGAGCCATCAGGGTCTACACAACGGCTCAACGTTTTCTTTCCTGACGTACCTCTTGTTTTGCTGCAACCTTCAGAGCTAGGGACCATCCTTACAGATACCTGGATGCCAAGAGGGGAGGAGGTGATGTGCACTGGGATGGAAGCTGCTTCTTTCTTCACTCCAAGCTATAATAAGTTAAAAACAGTGATGCCTAAAAAAGAGCAGATGGCTTCCCAGTGCAATCTGAAGCGTTCATAAGCAATAGGTAGTGCAAGGAGGTAGGCTCCAAGATGCTGTAGTTTTGGGGCAGTCTGAGCAGAGACCGCAGTAGGGAAAAGTAGGAAGCAGAAAACAGCCCCTCCTTCCCTTGGCTTCCCTCAACAAGGCTGGAAGCTTCTTCTGTCAGTGGCATGGAAACAAAGAGATAAATCTGAATCTGCTTCCAAGACATCCCCACTGACTGAGAAGTCCTGGCAGCAATGTTGGCCCCACAGCAAGACACCAAACCCCAGTCCCACATTAGGGGAGAACAGCAAGGCTCCACGGTCCTGAGCAACCAGCTTTCATCCATTTCTCTTTATTGTTACAACCACCTTGTTCTCCATCTGCTTTTCTCCAGAGTATTTAGCAACCCACAGCTAAGCTCCTTCTCAAGCCCTGGAAGCACCCCCACCGTGGCCCCACAGGCCTGTGATACCCTGTATAATCATCCCCAAGGAGAGAACAGCTCCATCTAAACACACCTCTGCTCCACCTTTGGTAACTCAGCCCCGAGACACCAGTCAAGGACATGCATTGGGACTCAGATCAGTCACTTTTGGGGACAGGATAACACCCTCCTGCCTCAAACAGGGCAAACCTTGCTCGCTTCCCCCACCACGTCCTCACAGTGCCTTCCCTTCCCTCTTCCCTGCCTTCATCTCATATTCCAGAGGCATCTCGCTTACTCAGAGCTCCAGCATTGGAGGGCAGAAAGAAGCTTTGGGATTGACAGCCAGCAGCGTAACAGCATTGACAGCAACTACAATCTCGTGACAGGTAGATGGGTTTAATTATCTGCGTGGGTGGACGAACCTTCTGGGAGAGCCGTCTGGAGCTGCCGAGCTGTGGAGGGTTGGGGCAACACAGCCCTCCCTGAGCAGCCGTCACACCTGAACAGTAGGGGCGTCCCTTGATCATGATGCTGTTTCCCCGTGGACCTCCCACCAGGAAACTCCTCTACATGATTTCCTGGGGCTACGCACAGTCGTTCTGAGGCCTCACCTCACCCTCCCTCTCCGGTTTTGTGGAGGTTGATTTAAGCTGCTGACAATAAATTGAAATTGCAGTATCCCATGGAAAACCGCTACGTGTTGGCCAGGTTCAGCGTTCCCCACTGCCTTAAGCCATCTCAAACGCTGCGGAGGACTTGGTGAGTGTTTCACAGCAGAGGTGCTAAACACACAGAATAACTATTTCTCTCCCCGGAGCACACCAACACCTATTAAAATTTTACTATCTGGTGCAGGAAGGTAGGAAGGACACTCTGCTTGCTCTGCAGCTCATTCCCTTCAGCACACCTGGTATCACATCAGACTGTTGTTACCCAACAAACACCAAAAAAGAACAGGATAAGGAAAAATCCCAGCCCATTAAAACCCCCAGGAAGCTTCAGAGAGCAAATCCATCAGAGAGGAGGGCAAGGCGGAGGCGAGCAGCCCCGGCCAGAGGGTGGGAAGGGGTCTGCGGGGCTGGCGTGCCGCTAACAGGTTTATTCTGCTGGCAGGGATCCCCTTCGGCAGCAGGCGGGTGAGCGCCGCAGCCCAGCGAGCTCAATCTGCGCTAAGCAGATTAGTTCCTTACCGGTGAAAGGTTCTGGGCAGCGGCAGAGAGTTGCTCACCATGTGACACGAGGGGGCTGTCATTACGTTTCATAGATATGATATAATTATACGTTCCCTGGAGGGTACTTCTAATTGAATTATAGGGTGTCTCACAAGTATTCTGGGCAGCGGTTCGAGGAAGCTCTCGCCGCCCAGAACAAGATAGAGATACCCTTTAATTCCATTAGATGTACCCTCCAGGGAGTGGGCTGTTACGCTGCGCAGCGATTCGCTCAAAACCCATCTCCCCCCACCAAAATTGGAAAGGAGGTGCCCTTAGCACAAGTCCTGTTGTTGCTGCGTATTTTTCCCTTGGGACTCCTCTGCAGCCTTGCCACCCAGTGAAACTCCCCAGCCTCCAACCCAGGAGAGAAATCCCTCAGCAAGGGCAGTCACTGTCCCCTTTCTGGGACTGTTCCCTTTCTGGAGGGGACAGTGGTCCTTTCCGGGTCACTTCCCAGAACAGATGCAGCACTGCTCAAGGCATCACATGCCAGGCTAGATGTACACAGGAGGTCTCAGCCTCCTTTGAAGACCCCTTCTCAGTCTTTCCTAAGACAGTGAGAAGAAGCCCAGGGGTTACCAGGCATGCAGCCTGCCTGTCCTCTTGTCCTGCCTTCCAACACAGCTGCAAACAGCTACCTGGGACAGAGCCACCCTTCATCCTCTCTTCTGGGGGCTGTGCACCAGCAAAATCACCCCACGCTTCTCTCCTGCTCCAAGACCGCTGCCTGCAACTCACTCAGCCAGCAGAGATGTCACAGCTGCTATGTTTTGTTTTGTTTTTCTGCTCTGTACCATACAAAGGATGGGATAATCAGGCCCCTGAGCCTATTATTTTTTCCGTCACCTCAAGGGAAAGCCAGCACCAGCTGCCCACCACAAGCCGAATGACCTACTGAAGCTGCCATCAGTTGTGACTCCTACAGATCGCGCTCACTCCCGTGTCTTACACCACCCCGCTTGTCAGGCCACAAAAAGAGCAAGGAAGACAGCTATGCCAAGGACTAGCTAATTATAGAAAACGAAGATGTTCCCATAGGAAAGGCAGCACAGTCACGGCTGAGATAAAGCACGCTGCTGCTCTCACTGGTGCGCGAGCAGCAGCCAGGAGCCCGACGCGCTCCACCCTGCCCAGCGTGCAGGTATTGCTCTGCAGCATGCAGCTGATCAAACTCCAGGAGCCCGGCTGCCAGGCAAGCAGTTATTGCTCATGCATAGTCCATTTGCTGTGCTTTTGCATTATTCACAGCTCTGCCCACCTCCGGTGGTGTCAGCTAACAGGACACATCTGTGAAAAGCTGCCAAATCACACATTTTCCCTCCCCAACTCCACTACAGAAAGAAAAAATAATACTATGAGTTATCAAAGCTAACACTACCAACCCCAAAATACTTTGGGCATCTTAAAGAAACACTTGTGATGTCTTAGAAACAGACAGCTCGGTACGTATTTACTCTTGCACAGCCAGTACTTTGTCCCTGGCACCTTCTTGCTCACTAGCACTGCAGCCCAGTTATCTGTACTAAAAAAGGCAGAGATAGAAGTATTAAGCCAACATGATCAAGCAGATGAGGCAAAGGAGAGGCTAATTCAGGAGGAAAGATGGGTACAGCAGAGATAACAGGAGGGGGAATTTCTACATTAAATATTGATGGCTTTATCACACTTTAAGGGTAAAAGCAGAGCAGCATGGTGCCTAGGTGGTGTTTTTTACAAGGGTAGGACCTCTTTGGCTTGCTTATCTCATGGAAAGAAGCACAAAGGCACAAAAGGTAGCTCCTACTGCATTTCACTTTGACAACATGCCTTTACATGGAGTACTAGAGAGGCACTGCTGTAAATAAACCATCATAACACACTCGCCATGCCAGCACTGCAAAGGCAGGAACAACCACTCCTGAAAGCTCTGCTTGGCCAGCTCAACAATAAAGAAGTAAAAAAAAAATAATGTAAGTGTTGGAGGAGATCTTCCACAGTCTAACTGAGAGACCAGAAGATCAGAGCCACGGCTTTTACATGGGGAGCAGCATCAAGCCCTGGGCTGCTTTGATACCCAGAATGTCTCAGCACCAATACTTGGGACGAGCTTGCAAGGGGAAGGGCTGGCCATTGCTCCCGAGCAGCTGGCGTGCATCTGTTCCTGAGAGCAGCAGGACATGGTGGAAGCTGTCAGGATGTGACATCTGGAGCAGGGAGCTGAATTTCCAATCTCTCTCTTCACCCGCTGGGGGAGGCCAGAGACCAAAGGAGCCCAGGTGGACATACACAGCTACGCACAAGGCTGTGAAGTGGAAAGGGAGCTTTGAAAAGGCACTGCAATCTGCCCTGCAGCAGGCCTGTTCAGGAGAGGGGAGGCTCAGCGAGGACAGAGCTGGCAGATGCTCAGGCTGGTCGGGCTCACAGGGTGCAGTCACAGTGCCACACTCCATGAGAGGCTCATCAGGCTTCAGGGCAGCCCAGCAGACATCTCCATCAGCCTCCTAAGGACAGGTCCTGCAAACCCTGGTGGGAAGAACTGGTCCCGTTTCCAGGTGTGATGCTCAGGGTTCCACCACCCTGCCCTTCCAGCCTAAACCACCCAAACGGCCCAGCTCTCCGAGCAGCCAGCGCTTGTGCTACGCCAGGACTGGCTCCAGTTGAAAAGCTAGCAGCAAGAAGTGCTGGCACCCAAGCAGAGACTTGAGGGGCCTCATCTGTCAACAGTCCATCTGCCAAGACAGCTGTAAATACATACCAGCCCAGATTCCTCCCAGCTTTAAATCTGCTGTTTTCACTGAAGCTAAACAGAGGATGAATTTGGTGTACGGTACTTACAACGGCTAGAGTGGCAAGTTCTCTTATCATCACATTTTATCCTGCCATGAGGTAAATAAGAAAGAAGCCACATTGCTAGCAACAGATAAATCACCTCACATTTGAAACAGCTGCCCTCTTTCACCAAGGTCAGCTTCTCCTATTTAGCCACAACAGAACCGTGCTTGAGGACTTCTGGTCAGGGAAGCTCTATTCTCTGTTCGAAAAGGGTAAGCCCATGAAACCTTGCTGGCACTCTGATCTGTTAGAAGTCACAGATACATTAAAGTAATGCTGTAATTAATGGTCCCACTGTGGGTTAAAAAAACAACAACAAACATACTTGCACTGGAGCAATGTACAGTCTATCAAGTCTTGCCCCCAGCGTTTTTTCTCAGCCCTGAGGCTGCGCTATTTAAACTGTGGCTTCTCCCTCTTTCTGTAAGCAGGAAACAGGAGTGATCTGTGCCTCTGCAATCCTGTGTGTGAAGTGTGTGTCTGCAGGCCCCTCATTCAAAGGTGTTTCATGCAGTACTGCACAAGCCAGTATGAGTAAAGGAGGCAAAGCTCACTCAACCCATGGTAAACTTGTTTTATGTTGGAGCAGTTCTGATCTGTTCATTTTTAAACCCAAATCTTGGTTGCGTTGTTTGGCATGATGAATTTCCCTGTGTTTGCTCTACACTAGGAATATCACTGGTCTCCCAGAGCTGCCCCTCTACAGGTCTCCTGCTTCAGGACCCCATGAGGTTCCCAGGGACTCCTCTGCTAGATCAGAGCACACCAGCTCTGCAAAGCCTAGTGCACGCCTCTCTTTTGAGCTGGGGTCCCAGGCTCCCTTGTTTAATGCTGTTACATAAATTCATACAAATGCCTCCTCTGATGGGCAAGAAGTCACAGCCCCTGAGGCAGCATGTCATTTATCCTTCTTCGTGAACTGATGGCAAGAATGTCCACTCGACACCTGCCAACAAGGCTATCTGGGAAGGTGAAGGTCAGCTCAGGGCTCCTCTTCCCAGGATGGTGTCACTCTCTCGCATTTGTAGGGGATGATTTCACATACGCTCCAGGAACAGTCGCCTGATACCTTGTGCAAATCCCCTGCAGGTCACACCACCTAGACCTCACAGCAGGTCTAATGCAGAAACTCTGTGTGTGTGTAAATGACTTCAGTTAGATTAGAACTACTGCTACTGTTAAAAACATTAATTTCAGAGCAAGAAATAAATACAACAACCTTTCACAATGTAGTGGGGTTGCAGGGCTGATTTTTTTTTTGTTTGTTTTTAACTGGGGCCAGCTCTGAGACTATCAATATCACTAACCAAATCAGGTCACTGGAATAGAAGAAATATATTGCTTGGATTGAAAATTCAGAAGGACAGGTCAGATAACTAGCCATGGGGGCAGGGGAAATGCTCTTCTCCTTCCTCTTCATTAAATGAAGCCATAGAGCAGTGTTGGAACTTCTCCTCTGACTGTTCCTTGTAATGCCACTATCTCCTTTTGAGGACAGCTGCTACTGCTCTTCCTTAATCTGGATTAAAACAGGAATCAAGAACTTTCAGTGTATGTGAAGGTAGAGCAAGAGAAAGCCAGAAGGAGCTCATCCTCTGATGGGAGCAAACTGGAGAAGTGTTTGGAGGATTCACTAAAAGTTAAATCTCAAGAGAGACAAAATGGGAAGGGTGGTGTCCTGAGAGAAGGAAATGAGCCTCACACAGCAAATTCTCATCACCTGGAATCCCACTAACTCAGCCTTAACTCTTTGAGAGCTGTTCTACATCAAGCCCAGAACATCAGGATCAGTGCAGAGGGTATGAGATCTGTGGAACAGGAGTTCAGACTAGATTATCCGAATAATTTCATCATGACCTAGGTCATTAATTTGTGTCACCACAGCTGCCATAGATAACCCCGGGTCTGCAGATTCAGTACACCTCTATGCCACATGACCAAAATTTAATTTAGGAAAATGAGCACCCAGAATTGCAGTTACTGTTGACAGCTTGAGGGGGATAGGGAGGTATTTCAGCTGCTGCCTCTATCTGTACCAGTCTGCTGCCTGATAGCTGGGGAGGTCAGTGAATCTGCATAAATTCGTTGTGGTTTTCAGTAACAGGAAATTACAAGCTTGATGTGCACAGACCCTCCTCTGGACAGCGCATAGGCCAGTGGTTCAGGGAGATTGGTTTTATTCCTGTCTTTGCCTCTGATCAGCTGGGTAATCCAGAGGGAACAGAAGTCACCTTCTCTGCATTTCCTCCCCACACTTGCAAAATGGGAATAACAACCCTGATCTCCTTTGCAAAGTTAGACCCACTGGTGAAACAACACAGAGAAGAGCTTAGTGTCACTAACAGCACTTCCCTCAAAAGGCTGCAACCATGTCTGCGTAGGTGATCAGATTAAAAAATTGACAGTTTCCTCAAGCACTGAATGGCAAAAAGGAATGACAACTAATTACACCAAGCCTCAGCATGATGTCCTTCAAACAAATGACCACCATTCACTTTTCTCCACTGCCACCTTTCCCACCAAACAAGGGTGGCACAGCACACAGGAAAGAAGGTGGCAGAAGCAGACATGGAAAGGCAGCGTGCAACTTACAAACAACCTCCTCTGCAAATCATAAAGGCCAAAAGTAACCAAAGCCTCACCATCTATCAGGGCAGCCTAAACATGTTCATCTCCAGTAGTATCTGTACTAAAGGAGGAGACAGCCCTACCATACCTGAGAGCTCTGCCTAACACGCACAGATAAATGGCTCTAGGTTTCCACGTGCTACCAAAGCCATTCTGACTTTGCAAAGAGGTTTTGCAGGCTATTTAATGCCAGTTTAACACCACAGCTTCTCTCAGCATCCAGCTTCTCCCCGAGCCATAGACAATACACAGTATGACAGACTCAGGGCAGATGGCTACACCTTCAGTAGACTGCAGATGCTGAAAATAATGAAGCAACCAGCAACATAGGCAAGCAAAAAAAATAGATCTGTTGGCCTGATCTGTTGATCATTAACTGCAGTAAATGTCACAGCAGAACTTGTCACTCTATCTTCCAGCTTGCATTCTCAGTTAGCTAGTGCTAACTTGTGCATCTTCCTAAAATTTCTGAAGCAAGACAGATTTTCATACAAATTTAAATGGCAATTTAAATTAAAGTTTCTTCTCTTGCTGGGAGTTCCCTTTATTATGCAGAAATAAAAGTCTTTAAAAAGAAATTCACTTTTTGCTGCTGGCCCTTAATGATTTCTGCATTGCTTGGACATGATAAAGCAGCTTGGTCAATCCTCTTCTACATTTTCATACATCCAAGAAACCAAAGCTTACTTACATGAAAAGTTATTTAACAGAAAAGTGTTTGGTCATCTTGCAATAAATAAATAAATAAGATTTAAAAAATCTAAGTTTTGGACTTGATCCTTCAAGAGTTTCCTTTTAGTCAACAAGAAAACCAGGAGTCTACTTCAGCTGCTTAGGTCATACCTGAGCCTCACTGGAGCAGGAGTACAGAAATAACAAGTGTAATGAAAAAGCAGCAGCCTTATCAAGAATTCAAAACCTGATCAATTCCTTTCTCAACAGATGACAGCATTCGAGATTACATAGTTTGATTTATAGCTATCCAACACCCATACACATCCATACGCACACACTGCATGTGACCATATTTCATTAATAATGGCACTGTTTTGAGCTTCCTCATCCCGACCTGCTTTCTTTGTGCTCCCACCCAAACGTGAGTAAGGAAACTTTGACCATGTTAGTCTAGAAAGAATCACAGAGGCAGTAAGCAAGAGCCGGTGGCAGGATCTGTTTTCCTCTTACTCTGTAATTTATGCATCAACTCAGCTTTTTTTAGTCCCTCATACTTCAGGGAAAGCCTCTTAAAAACAACCCTGATCTGGTTTGTTTTATCTTATAATGTTTAAGCAAAGGCCCCTTCTCCATTTAGTTTTAAGGGGAAGTGCTCACTGTTATCACCACTGGCCCTGGGATTTGGTAGATGGCAGTCTGTCTCCAACAGTTTGATCTCAAAGATGCTGTGTAAACCAATGCCCCTCAGATTAATTAGGGCATTGCTACATTTAAGGAGGCTGACCTAAAATCTACTTAGATTGCCTGCCACTGCAGAATGCAATCTGAAGGCTTTTAATTCATATGTCAGAGAATGAGCTGAGAGTAGACTGCAGCCTTTACCCTCCTCTGGCTTATGCTGAGCAGCATTTCTTTGTGGCTGCAATCATAGCATACGTGCATAACCGCAGTAAAGCTTAGCACCGTCTTAAATCGCTGCATGAGGTTTCCCATGTACTTGCTTCCTTCTTGAGTCAAAAATGTTATAAAAGTGACTCCACAAGGAGAATGAATAGGCTAAAGTAGTGAAGGAGGCAGAAGCCCATACTGAGTACATAAAAAATCATGAACAGCTCGCACACCAGAGCAGAAACCCATGCTCACATTTCATGTTCTCTAAGTAAGGGTGTAAGCAGCCAGGTGAAGCAGGGAGCACATACCTCTCCTTGCTTTCTGTCCCCCTGTCCTTATAACTGTCTCCTGAACATTGTTTCCCTACTGTTCCTCCTGTTCTGCAAAGGGCTTTGTGGACCCTCAGTCCCCACTTCAGTGCACAGCAGACCCCAGCACCTCCTGGCAGATCCCCCTCAGTGGGGAGGCGTTTCAAAGGCAGGCCCTGAAACATTCAGCCAGGCACAACCTTGGCTGTTTGGTGACCCAGTGTCTTCATACAGCCTTGTACTGCACAATGCAGGGACCACTCACTCACACAATGCTCTCTGGAACTACAAAATTGCCCTAAACACCCTATATTCACCTGTCCTCCCAAACTAGGGGAAACCAAAACTAGATGGCATTTGCTGATTGTGGATCTGAATTTCAAATCCAGATCTGAATTGCCTCAAGTTTGTTCACAGCCTGAATAATTTCTCAGAATTATTTTTCCTGCATTCAGATTTAGAAACCATAAACAGGAGGCAGAGATTCAGCTCACCTATCTGCACCTCCAGGTTCCTACAGCTGCCTCCATCCACACCTCAGCAAAGAACAGGCAGCACCTGGCCTGTGTTCAGTGAATTTAAAGGCCAAGGGATGATTACCAAAAACTACCTTCACATGTTTCCAAACCAAAAGTCCATTCCCAGAAGATCTGGACAGTTAAAATGCAACCTGGGAATGAATAAAGGCAGCTTGCTGGCCTACATGGTTAGGCTTATTAATTTGAGCCATATATACCCATTCTAGTTTCAAAATAAATCCATCTGTCGTTCTCATGGCCTATGAGCCACAAGGGGTGCTAGAGCTCCCCTGTAGCTGGAAAACTTTGTTCTCAGCAGCCTCCCAACAGAGAAGTGAAAGCCCTGTTAATGCATTAAGTGTAGGCACAATTTTGAGTACAGCACACAGGTTTTATCTGTGCTCTAGGGCATCTTCTCTGGGACACAAACCACAGTGCAAAGCATCTGGCATGTACTTGTTTTCTGGACTGCCTTCATTTTCATTACAGCTTGTCCTACAGGGATGCACATGGTCCTGCTGAATGTGGCTTGTTTTAACCCAAGTGAAGCAAAAATGCAGTTACGCTCTGACCTTCTGTCACACTTTTCAAAGACAAAAATAAGTCTTCCATCAGCAGGCAGATAAAAGGGAGTACAGTTTGGAGTAAAATGCCTCATGGCTCTAGTCTCTGGTACCCCAAACCTTCCTGCCAACATTTGCTACCAAATCCACTGATGGATGTTGAAGTCTTTTTTTCTTCAAGACCTGGCTGGAGCATGGCAGTACTCATTATATGAAATAGAATAGAGTCGTTCAGTTGGAAGGGATCTTCAAAAATCATCGAGTCCAACTGCCTGACCATTTTATGGATAAACAAAAGTTAAAGCACATTATTGTGGGCATTGTCCAAACATCCCTTGAGCAATGACAGGCATGGGGAACCAACCACCTCTTTAGGAAGCCTGTTCCAATGCTCGACCACCCTCACAATAAATAAATTTTTCCTTATATCTAGTCTATTTTAGGTAGTCTCCTCACAGGAGACTGTATCCACAAAACTGACCTCTTCTTTTCTTTCTCTGGAAAAATTAGCTCGAGGCTCAGTTTAGGAGACTAACCTGCCTTGCTCATCTCTCTGAAAAGGCCAGGTGGGGACAGCTGATCCTTCTCCATCTCTGGTTGTGGCTGAATCCAGCCAACCAGGAACTCCTGTTGCTTTAATAGGGAAGGACATGTACAATCAAGCATCAGGACTGTGGATATTAGCTGGATTAAGTGGTTTAGTGGGCTAAGGCAGAAGGTGATACTGAATTAGGGCATCCCTACTCCATAGCATTTAATGTATTAACATCCTTTTGGGTACTGTAAAGGGAGGCTTGGTACAAAGATTTCCTTTCTCTGATGCCAGTTGCAAGTCTGCACAATTCTTCCTTTGATGGCTCAAGCGATTAGGTGTTAACAAGAGGAACCTAGGCACTTAACACTAGGGAGTTTTAGCACCAGGTTCACACCCCCTCCCTCTCCCTGCTCAGCCAAGGGATTTTTCTCATTCCCCACTAATGTTAACAGCAGGTACTTAAAGCAATTAGACATTATCGCCTCTCTGGTCTTTATTACTTCCTAGCTTCATATCAGCTACTTTGTACGCAATAAAAGTGCTGAATTAACAGGACTGGTGCAGACTATTCTGCTTCCCTTCTTTATTCTGTATGAAAACACTGGGTCATGGAGCCACGTGGACAGACTGAGAGCTGCAGTGCTTTAGACCATTATTGCCAATTGCCATGGTATTTTACAAGGAGAAAAACCACAGGTAGTAAAAGAATAGATATAGGAAGATCATAGAGAAGGTGACATGGGGAATATGGGTAGACCATGGGGACATAAAGGCTGGAAGGATTGCACAAGTCCAGCAGAACAGCTTGCAGCTCTGCCTACACTGTGAATTAGGTTACACACAGATCTGTGAGTTGCACAGACAGCCTAAGGACACAGGTATGTGGTAAGGTATGTGTTGCTCATGTGAAAATAAAGCCCCATACCTACTGAGCAGCTCTTGCTTGCCTGGGAATAACTGTTGTCAACTTTTCATCTTGGGATAGCAAGAAACTCCTGTGCCCTCCAAGTTTGGTTTGCAGTAAGAGGCTTTCCCATATTTGCCCAGCCAGTTAAAACCTCCCTCTTTTTCTTTTCCCTCTACCTTAACTCACCATTAACCCATAGCTTGAGTGCAGGATCTCAGAAAATGATGTATTTTCATCCTACCCCCTGCAGTATTTCTAAGCCTCACTTTGTCATTCCCTCTCGGGAATGACTCTCCTAAATCCTGCTGTCGGTTCTTGCCTGAAAGAGGTAAGTAGGGAAACTGAAGGAAAGCTGAAGAAAGGAGCCTGTCCCTCGTCAGCGTTCACCTGTAATGGAGGCAAAATGTGGGGTTAAGCACCAAAACTAGACCCAGAAACAGAAATGAATGGGGTACTTACACAGTTTCATCGTTCTTGAACTCCAACTCCCCATAAGTGTCTTCAAAGTCTTCTCCACCTCCTTTTGCTGTCCCTTCTACTGTCCTAAATGGCACTATGACTGTACCCCGAGCACCTGATGTCCTTAGGACTTTGACTTCCATCACACCAATGCTCTCACTGACATGTATAACATCACACTCAAACGTGAAGATGCCAGCATGGTCATCATCCAGTATAGTCACTGTGGCCACACAAGGAGAAGCCAGTATGGCCTTTGGGTACGGGGAGTTACCAAGCTCTGGAGGTTCCTCACTCTCAACCACACGGAGGTTACTAAGCCGAACAAAGAAATGCTCGTCTTCCTCAAAGATGTCATCATCGATAATTCCCACTGAGAACTCCTTCTGGGTCTCCCCTGACTTCAAGACAACAGTCCCCTCTGTAAACTCATAGTCAGCACCAGCATTGGCAGAGCCATCCTCTGTTTTATAGTCCACGTAGATGGTCTTGGACACGTCCCCTCCTTTGCGCACCACTGTCAGGAGAACAGCACCACAGTTCTCAAGACACTGGTAGGAGCACGGGTCAAAATAAATTTTGGAGATGAATTCCTCAGGTTCATCTGGCCGCACCTCGTGCAAGCTGGTGCTCTTCTTGGCTTGCTCAGCTGCATGCTTCTTCAGAATATTGCCAGCTCCTGTCATCATTCTGGTAGCTTGAATGCGATAAAAGGCTCTGCTCTTTTGCTGATGAGACAAGGCATAGTAGTTAGCCATTTCTACCAGCTGGTCCAAGTCCTTCTCTGGGTGTTTTTGCTTCAGATCCTTAAGGATTCGGATCATCTCTTTGCGAGATTCATCTACCTCCTTCCCCTCCACAGTCACTAAGTTTCCATCCAGAAAGTGGGAGTTCATCATCTTGCCATCCATCTCAATTCCCTTAGGGTGATCGCCTTCTGATTCTATGATAATGCCCCTGTGCTTGTCAGTACGGTACTTTTTGTGCATGTACTTATAGAAAAGCAGACGTCTATCTGCTATCCAAGCCAGAAGGACACAAAGTGGAAAGAAGAAAAGTGTGAGCAGACCTTCCCAGACCTGAACCACACCCGGAGAGAAGACAGCGAGAATCATGTACAACCAGATGTAAGCAAAAATGCTCCATGCAGCTGTGACAAAGAAAACTCTCAGGTGTTTTATCTTTCTGGTTTCCCCATCAGGGATCACGTAGACACAGATGGCAATGATGATAAACATATTGAAAGCAGCGCTGCCAACAATTGTGGATGGCCCCAGGTCTCCAGCTATGAATCCATGCCCGCACACTTCTATCAGAGATAGAAGGATCTCAGGAGCAGAGGAGCCCAGAGCCATGAGGGTCAGGTTGGAAACAGTTTCATTCCAAATCCGAATGGTGGTCGTTGTGGTCTCTCCATTGGGTTTCTTAATTGTGATTTCTTTCTCTTGCGATGTAATGACCTCTATAGATGCCATGAAACGATCTGCAATGATGGAGACTCCAAGGAACATGTAGATCAGTGCTACAAAGTACACAATAACGCGGGCAATTTTGTCCCCAAGGGATGGGTTTTCTGGGTACCATATTGGCAGGATAACACCCTCCTTGCAGTCAAAAGATCCTGAACACGAGCTGTTTTGTACTGAACTGGTTGAGTCTCCCGTCAGGCCAGCATCCACCTGCAAACCATGCAAAAACAGCACAAAAGTAACCAGCCCAAAATGGAGGAAGGCTGAGGTGAGAGGCTGCAAGCTTAACCACGCCATACACAAGATGCAACTTCCACTGTGTAGATCCAAAAAGGCCGAGAACCTGAAACAAACAAAACAGAGAGGGGGGAGGGAAGCATGAGAGAAAATAAAGATGCAACATTTACCCAAATGCACTTCAGTATCTCACCATGGAAGAGTACTGGTAGAGATGCAAAGGTTGTCTCTCTGTCACTCTGAAGAAGGTATTTAGCAGGGACTCTAACACAGTGCAGCACTTACATGCCCAGCAGATGAAGATGAATTGCTAAAAAAGTGACTCAGAGGAAAACTATGTAATAGCCTGCACTTGACCTACAATGTATGCAATAGGAGTACTGAGTGCTCAGCTGCCACTCTCCTAATGATGCCACCGTGTTCCCCAGAACTCAGGGAATTAGGGACAAGTCAGGGAATCACTACCAACATAAGAAGCACCATTTAAGGCCAGTGAGCAATTTCCAAATGAAGTTCATTTGTAAGACATAATTCAGTTATGGAGTACCTTGGTGGCCAAACATCCCCATAGCCAGCACCTCCTGATAGGCTGCAGAACGTCCAGAAGGGTCCCAGGGCTCCCCTAACCTTCTGACGAGCAGGACCCCACATCAGGAGGTAAAGATGTCACCGGGGAAATAGGGAAGAGGTCTTGTGCTTGGCAAAGCTCTAAAGGCCATTTCTCACCAGCTTTTACACTCTGATCTGGAGGATCACGTTTTACATCAGTAATCCTACCTTTAAAAGGTAACAGAAACCTACAAAAACACCACAAAGACCTGTGCTCATGAACTGACAAGACACAGCAAAATGCATGTACCCACAAATACTCTTCTTGTGTCCCTAAGAAAGTGACGTATTTTCAATTACCCTCTAAAATGAAAGTAATCTCTAAGCTAAAATGCCAGGCAAAAACAAAGCAGCTGATTGATGTTTCATGTAGATTTGGGCATGTCAGAGCACAATAGTGCCTTCTGTTACTTATGGACTACATTGCTGTAGGACTTGTACCAATTAAAATTGGAATCTCAGCCCTTCACTTTCTCATGGACCACACTATTCTCCTTCCTTTACACCCAACATCAGGAAGAATTTGGTCTCAGGCTTAGCTAAGAACCACATTTGTAAGTCCAGCCACAGCCAAGTATCTCACAGGAAACATCAAACTTAATAGCAGCATTATCTAAAGCATTTGGAAGGTCCAAGAGCCTTAACTCCCACTAACTTTCATTGAGCATCGCACTGCTAAATCAGTAGGACCGGGATTCATTTCCCCTGCTGTAACTATCTAAATCTTGAGCAGTAAATTAAATTAAGTCGCCTAGGCTCCCTTTGTAGTCAGAGGAAAGAGACAGTCAGTTCCAGGGGATGATCCTTCCTGCCCCGCCCCATTCTGATCCAAAGATGTATTTAAGATGCACATCTCCAGAGGGAATTTTGTCCTTTCCCATCTCTCTCCATGGTTCAGAGAGCATGTACAGACAATTTAGAACACACACCTAACCTTCATTAGAGACAGTTCAAAGGGATGAACGGGTCCCTGAACACTTGAGGAGGTCCCCTTCTCCCCTCCCTATCCCCTTGCACTGTATGTATTCCAGGCAACATTTTCATTTTATCAGCATTAACAAAGGCATCTCAAATGGCTGTTTTATCATTATGTTGTGTTGCTTACATCTTCCCAAAAGCGGGTGCGATCTTCCCAATATCAACAAAAGTGTTTTCAACTTTCAGATAAAAATCTATAAAGACAAGCAAAACAGGAAGGAAAGCGTGAACAAGGACTGCAAATGAACAAAACCATCCCTGACAGAGCACAGCAGAGGGGAGAGAATTGATTATGCAGTATCAGGATCACAAATCCATATCTGACACCCTTGATATGAAAAAATAATATACTTCTTCATGTCACCTGGACTAATTCAGAAGAGACAGATTTTCCCACATTAGCCTACTTCTCTCTCAAATGCTGACTTATTTTCCTTTTTACCCCAGCCCCTGGGGACCAGGGGAACCTCAGCCGCAGGGAGGGCTGCTGGGCAGCCCAGCTTTCTCATCATCTCCCTTCTCACAGGGAAGATGGAGCTACCCAGCACAAACAACTTGGCTTCAGTTTGACACTCCCATTCTGTTTTCCCTCTCTCTCTGCAGGGTATTTTACCAGGCTCAGGGAAATCCCTGAGAAAGGGCCAGAGTCACGATGAGCAGCGATGGGCTGCGAGGTAGATGTGTGCACATCCACGGTAAGATGACGTTTTCCAGGTGCCCCTGGCTCCAGGTGCATGCAGAGAGCAACTGCACGTGCACAGCGGCTCCAGTGCACCCCGGGCACATCACTACTTTCCGTACTGCAATTGCTGGCAGGTATCCACCAACCTCTAAACTCCTGCAGCTTCCAGAGGCTAGTTAACTGCACAGCAGCCAGTAGGCACAGTGTCTTCCAGGATCAGCCATGTAGAAACGTCTGACAGAAAGACAGGAGTCATTTCAGAGCCATCTATGTGACTCAAGCACCTAAATTTGGTTTCAAAAATGACTTTAGAGTCTAAGCATCACTTAAATTCAGAGCCCTGTCTAGTAATAGCACAATGACTAAACTGCCCTCTGAAATAAATCACTGCTACCCCCTCTCTATGGTATGACCACCTTGTCATTAATACTGTATGTCCACCTCGTGTAACATTGTGATGGCTTCTAATGCCAGCCATGTCACAAAACAACCAGGGGCCACCCCAGCCCTTGTTCAGTTTTTAATTTGATTTTAAACAGAAGATAATTCCACTACTATTCCTCAAACTAATTGCGTATTGCTTCAAAAACACTCTCTGTCAGGTCAGCCTCTGTGTATGCTTTTGGACCTCCAGACTCAGACTAATGGTTGCAGGCTAAAACCTCAGAATTTGAGAAAGCATTTTTTTCACTGGTTTTCACTTGCCTTGACAAACATTTTAAAGTTAAGTGGAGGTCACAACTATTTTCTAAAATGATACAACAATGATCCCATCCTGCTATTTTTTGACACAGACAAAACTCCCCACTGAGATCAACAGGAACTTTGCCCATGGACACACCGCCTAATAAGATCTTAATATGCTTTCATTAACATGAACAGCATTAACCTAACCCATCTGAAAAATACAGGGAAGCATTCTGACTCCTCCCATCCCCCTTGGGAACCGGTGCAAAAGTGCTTCACAACTCGGAATAAAACTATTAAATTTTAAAACTGCCGTTAATAAAATATTGAAGTAACAATTCTAACATTCAGAAGGCAGAGGATGGAAGAGTTAAAACTCGCTCTGTAGCTCCAGGTCAGCAAGGTTGCTTATACAAGATGCAACTTTGTGCTCAGATGTATCCCCAATGCTCTGTCCAGAAACCTCAGGAGGGGACCCGTGTGTGAAAGTCAGTTGGCATTGCGTGATCTTCAGCTTTATGCCATTGAGATCACAACTCTGCTGATTTCCCCCACCTCTTTGCTCTCAGACATCTCAAACAGATCTCTGCCCCACTATCGTTGTCACATTTAATACCTGCAAATAAAGGCAGTGGTACTGAGCGAAGTGCCCCCTGCCTGGTAGGACAAGTTATGAGAGCAGCCCATCAGTGCCAAAGAGAGACCAAAAGCTGAAAGCACCAGTGCAGCAGAAGGAGATGGTGTTCAGTAAGAAGGCTCTGAGAAAACACAAAGCAGTATTTTTTTAGCAGGGGGAACTCCTTCCACAAGGGTTGACAATGGCCACGTGATCCATAAATAAAACCCATAAATAAAAAGATCCGTTTTTGAAATACTTATGGACATAGTCCAGAAAGTATCAGGGACCATGCTTGCCACTATTAAGCCTACAGTAGAAAATGACAATGGACAACTGTGAAGTTCTTTACATCTTTTATAATGGCTGAGTTTCAGAAAACTGGGGGTTTGTCTGCTGGCAGACCCATAGCAAGACAGAAAGCTGGGAAGGCTGTGTAGATCCCTTGTACTTTAGCATTTACAGCTCCTCACATAACTCTAATGGCAAGGATATTTTCAAAAGGAAGCATTCATGACAAGAAACCTCCCTCTCCCTCCTACCCCCCAGATAAATCAGGCACTGAGCACATCTGGGGCCATCCATCCGCTCTCCCCCTGACTCCAGCCTAGCCAGGAAATGCTGGGGATCAGATAGGAGCACTGGATCAGCCCCACTCAGGCGTGGGCGATGCTCGAGGTCCAGACACAGACATCTCAGGACCCAGGGCTTTGTCTGCTTGACAAGCATCTGTCCCAGTGCAGAGCAGATATGGTACTGCTATTTGTGTTATCTTAGAGTCCTGCTCTTAAGTTGGAGGAGACAGAAATAAGGTTCATCTTAATAACAGGGCTGTTATTAACAGGGCAGAAAAAGAAAAAAATTACCTCATATTCCTCAGCTCCAAAACACATAAAAGCTTTTTGATTGAGCACACATTTTTGATAAGCATCAGCAAAAAAGGAAATTATAGCCTTTCTGTCAAAGAACACCAAATAACTTAGTTTTCACATAAGTATTATTCCTAATTCACACTCCTCACAAATAAATCCATAAAAAATATTTAACACAAAACAAAGTATATTTTCAATCATCTCTATTCAAGTGCCATCTATCCCTGTCTTCATCACTACAACAGGATTTACCTGCAGTCCAAAAGCTAGAGTGATGTAATTAGATCCATTTTGTCAGACAAATACAAATTTTCAATCACATATGAAGTTTTAAGTGGTTATTCTGATGGCATGCACCTATCTGATATGAACATGGCAAAAACCCCAAGCTTACCTTACACTGGATATTGTACAGCAATAAGCAGTTAAGCTCCCTACTACCACACCAGCTGTATTTTACGAGGAAAAAAGCAACGTAACTCATGCTTAGGCCATGACAGATCCCCAGAGTTTGGCTCTATAGGAAAGTTATGGCAGGGGGCCATAGGTGCTTGGTTGTTTTGCACTCCACAGGAAACATGCCCAAAACCAGAATTAGCTGCCTACAGAATAACCCCCTTGATACGTGTCAAAAGCAGCTTTTTTTTTTTTTCCTCTCAACA